ACACTCTTAAGAGAAATTAAAGAGGTCACTAACAGATGGAAACTCATCCCATGCTCTTGGCTAGGAAGAATTAATATTGTCAAAATGGCCATCCTGCAAACAATGTACAGATTTGATGCAATCCCTATCAAATTACCAACAACATTCTTCAACAAACAGGAACAAATAGTTCAAAAATTCATATGGAAACACCAAAGACCCCAAATAACCAAAGCAATCCTGAAAAAGAATAAACTAGGGGGGATCTCACTCCCCAACTTCAAGCTCTACTACAAAGCCATAGTAATCAAGACAATTTGGTACTGGCACAAGAACAGAGCCACAGACCAGTGAAACAGATTAGAGATTCCAGATATTAACCCAAACATATATGGTCAATTAATATTCGATAAAGGAGCCATGGACATACAAAGGGGAAATGAAAGTCTCAGATGGATGGAGCTAGAGGGTATTATGCTCAGTGAAATAAGCCAAGTGGAGAAAGACAAATACCAAATGATTGCACTCATCTCTGGAGTATAAGAACAAAGGAAAAACTGAAGGAAGAAAACAGCAGCAGAATCACAGAACCCAAGATGGACTAACAGTTACCAAAGGGAAAGAGACTGGGGAGAATGGGAGGGTAGGGAGGGATAAAGGCGGGGAAGAGAAAGGGGGTATTATGATTAACATGTATAATGTGGGGGGTAGGGGAAAGGGGAGGGCTGTGCAACACAGAGAAGACAAGTAGTAATTCTACAACATCTTGCTATGCTGATGGACAGTGACTGTAATGGGGTTTGTTGGGGGGACTTGGTGTAGGGGAGAGCCTAGTAAACATAATGCTCTTCATGTAATTGTAGATTAATGATAACAAAATCAGAATATGTTACTCACCTTTTTTTCTTCACTATGAAAATCACGCCTTTCCGCTGCCTCCATTAAAACCAAAGCCTCCAAAGATTTTTAAGACATTTCTCAGTTTTGTCTTAGAAAATTTGGCATGAACTACTCTTCTTTTTTCTCAACTTGGTTATTTTAACTTCTTAAGGAATAATGCATCTACTTACTAGTTTGTTATGATTTTTAGTGCTTATCTATGCAAGTAAGTGGTATATTAAAGAAGTAAATGAAGCATTATTTATGCTCATTTATAGTAATTCATTTGTTCATTCATTTATTAAACAAGTTCTTGAATACCTCCATTTGCTAGGTATTACAGCATTAGGTAAAATACAGAATTCCTGCTAAGAATTCACACTGGTAAATACACTGGGAAACTAGCAATTTTAGACCAATGTGACAGTTGATCTGCAGAAAGAATGTGCACAATACTGTGGCAGAAATGGACATGCAGGATGATGAGAGAGTTGTAAAGGCTTCATGGGCAACATGTAATTGTGTGTCCTGGGGGACAGCCATGCTCGTGGCAGACTGAAATTCTATTAAAATTTTGTCATTTTCCAGGTGGTTGGTGGTATGTGATTCTAATGTGGAAAGAATGATAAATGCCCTTCCTTCTGTACCCCCAGTTTCTCCCTCTCTGTACATGAGAAATGCTTCAGTTCAATAAACTTTCCAGACCGTCTGACAGAGAAGGGGTGTGAGCAGACAGCACAGAGCCGGTTCCAGGGCCCTACGTCCTGAAATGTGTGCTCCCCACACCGACACGTGTCTGGTCTAACAGACATTTGAAACAATAAGTGCAGATAAGCATTGGTGGGTCCCAGTTTCAAGTGGTGCCCCTATAATTACCAAGATTGAGCTGCCCAGGTTTTTTTCAGTTACAAAACTTGTTGCTCAGTGTCCTCCCCTCTCTGTGGGCACAGTGTTTCCAAAGGAGCAGTTCCAGGAACCTGCAGCCTGGGGGCCAGGGCAGTGACTCCGTGTTTGTAGATACTGAAGAGACCACAAGTGAAATGGAGATACCGAACAATTAATAAGACAGATCTTTTTATTCAATCCTTGTCTATAAAATTGATTCCATCTTCTGACTCTCCAGTGTATTGAAATGGGGGAAAAATTCCAGAAGGCACTCATTTTGTATATAATGGAAACTTTTAAGAGTGGGAGGAGAAAAAGTTTGGTAATCCTATTAGGTTCTCTTATAACCTACAGTCACAAACTAATTCTGCAAATGCAGCAGTTGAACAAATCATCTGCAAATTGAAAGTCAACATAAGAGTGAATGAGAAGCCCTAGTGGTTGCTATCCTCTTTTCATAAGGCACGAGAACAAGAGAGGTATAAGAAATGATAAGAACTTGGATTTACAGAAGTTGGGGTTTCCCAATCACTGTATATTTTCATAAAAGCAAATCTTACTGACAGTTAGTTCCTGCCTCATGTTGACAGTTTGCAAGTAAGAATAGCAGGGTCCCATTTCAGAGCAGACAGTGTGGAGCCCCCTCAAAAGCATTTTTGAATTAGAGTGACAGGGCTTCACAAGCATTTCTGGCAGTACAGAATGAATATTAATGTTTCAAGAAACAATACATTAGAAGTAGATCTATAGTCCTTCACTCCCCCAACCCTGCTTACCATAAGAACAAAAATAGGCCTCCTGCAGTTGGATTTTTTGTCTTCTTTTTACACTCATAAGCACAATAACATAACCCTTGTTTACAAGACTTGTCTTTCTATTGATACACCACTTCATTTAAGAGTATCATCTAGATTCCATGAAATCCAGACATATAAACATATATGAGCCACTATATACTTGATAGAAAATTTTATTTTCTCAAAATCTTACAGAATTGAAGAATCCCAAGTGAGGTATGACCTGAAGGCAGACAGAGCTATGTAATAAATTCTTGATCAATTTGTAGGGCAGTTGTTTTTAATTCCTCAAAGAATTGGGTTTCAACATGAATGATATCAAGGGCTTGCCCCACCCATACAACTACATTATCTTCAATTGCTTCTTTCTATCAGGGAGATGATCTTCAACTAGCATACAAAGCAGAAGATTCCTGTGTTCTAGATTTAGAGCTGTTTGTCTTTTAATGTTTTTCTTTCCCTCCAGGTACATAGTTTCATTTTAGCTTAGGGGAAAAGACCTAAAAATAGTTCATATCAGGCTTTGAATATCAGCTTCCAATTGGGCCAACTTCTGAACATACAGCTAATTAAAAATAAAAAAATCCTTTCAAATATCTTGTCATGTTTCAGACAGGACAAACAGTAAACATTCCTGGCAGTACTGAATAACCCTACCAGTGACAGACGTATCTCCAAAGAGGGTGGAAAAGATACTATCCTTTCAATATCCAAAACCACTATCAAAGATAACCAAAAGAAAGACAGACAGTTCTCTGAGAGCCGTCAACAGTTGGTACAATCTTAGCTGCACATGGAGTACCACCCACATTCCTGTCTAGCCATATTTTGGGGCCCCAACCTGATGGTTGAGTTGCCTGCAAATGCAAGAATAGACAACCTGTATGTCCCAGGAAGGCAGAAACCAAGCCAAGTTCTCAGGACACAAAACTGGACAAACAACAAGGAGATAGCTGCCCTTGAGAGTGAAAGGGCCAGTAAGCAATGTGTACCCCAAAACCAAATTCACAAGAGTCTGGATTTGGAAAGGAAGGTACATGAAATTTTATCTTCCTCTCTACCAGGAACTGCAGAGACCTGAGAGAGCTAGCTCTGGTAAGAATTCTTCCCTCTTGCTGGTGTCTGCCGGTTTTCCCAGGATACCATCTGTAAGCTCTTAAGCAAGTGGAGTTTAAAGGAGAAAGTTAACCCTGGTATCTACCAGAATTTGGCAAGGTTTTCCTTAAAACCTTAAAACTCTTAGTTTCCCCTTGGTGTTTAAGGAAGTTAACTGTTGGCAGTTTACTGGTGAATCCCTCAGGGTCCTATCACCCTGGGAGGGACCTTCCTTTGAAGGTAGATATGGGAGCATTTGGGTTGATGTGGAAGGACTTGACAAAGCCTTTGAGAGAATCTTTTTTCCAGTGTCCCAGTGGATTGCAAATTAGACTTCTGGGCCAGTGGTTTGATGACTGACTTCCAGGAGGTTGCAAATGCGGAGGCCCAGGTACTTCAGGTTTCTGGCTTTGAAGTTCTTTCAGTTGTAAGGCCACTATCTTGGTGGATTTTGATTTATGGTCTTGTAGTCTTTTCAGAGTGGAAAGGCAATTCAGATACAGGGTTACTAGACTGGGTGCTAAGGTAAAGGAGGATAGGAGAGTATTAGGAGTCACATCAGTTTTATGAATTCTGTTTTAGACACTTGTGTCTTTAATTGCCACTAGCCTTTTGCAATGAATCTTTCAATGAAGCTATTTTAGAATTTTGAAGACTTTTGGGGCTTGTCCATGCCAATTAAAATAGGAATCCCATTCTGTTGATTTGAAAACCCTTGCATTCAAGTACACTTCTTAAAAGAACAATCTTGCCTCACTGGACATTCTCTGTAATGGTCACTGTAATTCTAGGTTGTCTTGGTAAGTTGTGCCATTTTTGTAGATACTTATGGCTTCCAAGTCCATGGTCCTTAGATATAAAATAAGCAGTTACACGAGAAGGTGGAGAACTCAATTCTTTAAAACTTTAGTGTCCCGACCTGCAGGACTATCAACGGGGGTCGACGACCTGGAGGAGAGAATTGAAAAAAAAAAAGAATGGGGCAAGGGACACAAAGAACAACCGGCAAGACAGGATGTCTGATCAAGCTGGCACAGTTTATTGTTTGTAGGCTCAATTTATACAGGTTAGCAAGTAAGGGGTGGGTCAGGAGATAATTGGACCTTAGGTGGCGCCGGCGGGAACAGAGGACCCGGAAGAGAAGCGGGAAGTTCTCCATTTTGGGGGTGGGGGCCCTTGGGAGGGAGGCTTGAAGGGAGGGGCATTCCCCTGGGGCAGAGGATGTTTCTTGCTTAACAAAGGACAGAAAAGGCACATGCTGTGAGGTAGCCTAACCACTAACTCTAACTTAGAAATGCAAATGTTGCTAGGTAACTTAACCCCTAGCTCTAACCTAGGAGTTCACTAAATTTGTTTCTTGGTAATAGGGGAAAACTTGTTTCTAACGTGTGGATGGATTCATTGTTGCTGACTTTACAGGAAAGACTTTACTCAAACGTTGCTGTTGTCTTAAGGCTTTTGTGACCGAGTCTGCCTAAAGGCCCACAGGTTTGCTCCCAACACTTTAGGGTCCCATTTTTTTAGGTAAGACTTGGGCATCTCGGAACCAAATTAGTACATAAGAGCCCTTGGGTTTGGGGATTTTGTGGTGCTTCACAGTATACCTCACTGCATGGAAATTTTCTGGAGTTTGGTGGATGACCTAGTCTCAGTCTAACCTATTCCATGACCATCTTATCCTAGCACAAAAGTCCTAGAGTTAATGTATCAGCACTCTTACCAGCTTTTAAGTGTTTGACCTATGCCCACTCAGTTTGTGGCTTTGGCTTTTGAGATTCACATTAGCAATAAATCCCTTATTTTTTTCACAGGAAGATTTCTTTACAGTGCTGAACTCTCTGATGGCTTTTAGTAGTCTGAGTTGTGTGTTCTTAGATTTAAATTTTGATTTTGATGGTCAACACAGTGTGAATTTCTTGTCTTAGATTATTTCCCCAAATCCCAAGTCAAGGTTTTGTGAACCTCCTAATGGCTGCCACTTCTTGTGGACAATGGAATCCTTTCTCTTTGAGTCCCATAATAGCTGCCACCACTGTGAACTCCCAGTATAACTATCCTGAAGCCTTTCTGGAACCCTAGAACCTTTTTGGGAATTTAAAAAAAAAACATAGAATCTTTTCAGGAACTCAGAATCTTTCTAGGAATTTTAACAAACTCTGGATACTCTCCAGGACCAAAACATTTCTGAGAATTTTAATGTACCTTAGAAAGTTTCCAGGGTCACAGGAACCTTTCTGGAAACTTTAACAAACTCCATAAAGGGGTCCCAGAATCTATGGAAAAAAGATTTACATTCAAATTTTTACTTAGTTAATACCTTCCATTATACAAAGTTAATATAACAGAAAAAAAAACATTTTTGGAAACTGATCTGAAAGTTCAAACATATATTAATTGGAGCAGAAATAAAAATGAGTCCAAAGGAAACAACCATGACAATACTTAGTTGTGTGTGATTTTTTGTGTGTGGTGTGTGTGTTGTGATGTGTGTGTAAGCTTCTGTGTGCTCTGTGTGCTGAGTTGGGCATGTTCAGTGTGTTGTGTGTTGTGTGCATTGAGTGTGTCTTTGTGTGTTGTATGTGTTGTATCTTTTGTGTCTGTTGTGATGTATGTCTGTGTGTGTTGTTTCTTGTGAGTGTGGTTGTGCATGTGTTGTTTAGTGTGTGTAGACTGCTTTGTGTGTTGTGTTGTGTGTGCTTAGTGTTTTCTGTGTTCTGTGTTGTGTGGTTGTGTGTTGTGTATGTGTTCTGTGTGTTATTACCTGTGTTCTGTGTATTGTGTTGTTTTGTGTTGTGTTGCTTGTGGTGTGTGCATGGTTGTGTGTTGTTTTGTGTCTGTGGTTTTCCATTTTGTGTGTAGTTTGTTATGTCTGTTCTTTGTTTTATGTGTTGTTATATATTGTGTTCTGTGTTGTGTGTTTTGGGGGTATGGTATTCTGTGTGGTGTATTTTGTGTATGGTGTGTGTGTTGTGTGGTCTGTGTGTGTTGCATGTTGTGTGTTATATTGGTTGTTTGTGCTGTGTTTGTTGCATATGGTGTGTGTGTTCTTTGGTCTGCTTTGTGTGTTGTATATGATGTTTGCTGTGGGTGTTGTGTGTCTTGTAACTGTTGTGTTGTGTGTTTGTGTGTTGTGTGTTCTGTTGTGCTGCCTGTGTATGTACTTATGTTTGGTTTGTCTGGCGTAGTTGTGTGTGTTGTGTGTAGAGTGTGAAAAGTCAGTTGTGAGTTTTTGTTGTGTGTTGTGTGTTGTTTTGTATGTGTTGTGTGAGTTTTCTGTGTGTGATTATTATTTGTGTGTGGTTGTGTTTGAGAGGTTGTGTGTGTCATTGCTTGTTTGAATTGTGTGTGATGTGAGATGTGTTGTCTGTATGTGCTTGTGCTTATTCAGTGTGCTTCATTGTGTGTGTTGTGTGGACTCTGTGAAGTGTGGTTTGTATATATTGTGTGCTGTTATGTGATTTGATATGTGTGGTGTGTGTCATTTTGTGTGTTGTGCTGTGTGTGTGTTGAGTGGTTGTGTATGTTCTCTGTGTGGTTGTGTGTAATGTGGGTGCAGGTTGTGTTGTTTTGTGTGTGTTGTGTTTGTACTGTGTGTAGTGTGTGTTCTGTGTTGTGATGTTTATTTTTGTGTGAGGTGTGTTGTATGTTTTGTGGGTCATGTTTGTTGTGTCTTGTATGTTGTGTGTGTTTTGTGTTATGGGTATTGATGTGTTTATTTTTGTGTGTGTGGTGTGTGCATGTTGTTTGTGTGTGTTGTGTGTGGTTGTATGTGATCTATGTTGTGCTTGTTGGGTTTTGTATTGTGTGTATAGTGTGTTGTTTGTTGTGTGTATATGGCAGTGAGTCTTTTGTGGTGTTTGTTGTGTGATTATGTCTGATTTCTGTTGTGTTACATTGTGTGTGCTGTGTGTTATTGTGTGTTGTGTGTTCTGTTGTCTGTGATCTGTATGTTTTGTGTGTGGTGGTGTTTCTGTGGTTGTGTGTCTGTGTGTGTTGTATCCTGTCTGTGTTGTCTGTGTTGTGTGTGTGATGTATGTGGTTTGGGTTCTTTGTTGATTGCAGTGTATGTTGTGCTGTGTTTCTGTGTGTTGTGTTGTGTGTATGTGTGTGGTTGTGGGTGGTAGTGTGCTGTGTGTTATGTGGGTTCAGTGTGTCTTTGTGTATTATATGTTTTGTATCTGTTGGGTTGCATGTTGTGTTCATGGTTGTGTGTGTTGTATGTGGTTTTCTGGGTCGTGTGCAGTGTGTGATGCGTCTATGCATTGTGTGTTATGTTTTGTGTTCTGGGTTCTGTGTGTTGTGTGTATGGTTTACTGTGTGTTGTGTATGTATGTGTGTTCGGTGGTCTCTGTTTTGAGGGTTGTGCGTGACTTTAATTTTGTGTTCTGAGTGTTGTGTATTTGTGTTTGTTGTGTGTGACTGTTTTGTGATTTGTGCTGTGCTGGCTGTGTGTATGGTGTATGTTCTAGGTGTGTGGTTGTGTTGTGTGAAATGTGTATTGCATGTGTTCTGGGTTCTTTGTGTTGTGTGTTGTGTGTGTTCTTTTGCATGATATCTGTTTTGCATGTGGATTGTGGATTGTGTGTGCTTCTGTGTGGGTTTGGTTGTGTGAATTTGGTGTGTGTTGTGAGATGTGTTTTCTGTCTGTGGTTGTGGGTGATTTGTTGTGTGTTTTGGGTGTGGTTGTCAGTGACTGTTTTTTGTGTTGTGTATTGTGTGTGTAGAGTTTGTGTTGATTTGTGTTTTGCTGTGATGGTTTTATTGTGTGTCTGTTCTATGTTGTGTTATGTGTGTTGGGTGTTTTCTGTAGTGTTATATTGTGTTTGCTGTGTGAGGTTTTGTGTGTTTTGTGTTCTTCATTGTGGGTTGTGTTGTGTTTGTTGTGTGCAGTGTATGCTGTGTGCATATGGTAGTGAGCTTTATGTTTGTTGTGTGATGATGTGTGTCTTATCTGTGTTGTCACATTTTGTGTGCTGTGTGTGGTTCTGTGCTGTGTTGTCTGTGTCCTGTGTGATTTGTGGTAATTTTGTGTGGTTGTATTTGTTTTGTATGTGGTGTGTGTTGTCTGTGCTGTGTGTGTTATGTGTGAGCTTTGGGTTCTGTTTATTGTGTGTGGTGTGTGTTTTCTTCTGTGTGTTTCTGTGTGGTGTGGTTTGTGTGTTGTATTTCTGTGTCGTGTTTTTTGTGTGTGGTGTGTGCTTGTGTATGTTGTGTGTGTTCAGTGTGTGTTGTATGTTGTGTTATATGTGCGGTTGTGTGTGTTGTGTGTGGTGTATCTGTTGGGTTCTGTGTGTTGGTGTTGTGTGAAGTGTGGAAAGTGTGTGTGGTTTGTGTGTTGTGCACTGCATTATTTTATTTTGTGTGTGTTGTGATGTGTGTGGTTGTATGTGTTATGAGTGTGCTGTGTGTGGTTGTCTGTGTTGTGTGTGTTGAGGATGTGTTTGTGAGTGTGTTAGGCTTAAAGTGATATGTGGGTGAGTGCTGGGGATATGTACTTATGTTTGGTTTGTCTGGCGTAGTTGTGTGTGTTGTGTGTAGAGTGTGAAAAGTCAGTTGTGAGTTTTTGTTGTGTGTTGTGTGTTGTTTTGTATGTGTTGTGTGAGTTTTCTGTGTGTGATTATTATTTGTGTGTGGTTGTGTTTGAGAGGTTGTGTGTGTCATTGCTTGTTTGAATTATGTGTGTGATGTGAGATGTGTTGTCTGTATGTGCTTGTGCTTATTCAGTGTGCTTCATTGTGTGTGTTGTGTGGACTCTGTGAAGTGTGGTTTGTATATATTGTGTGCTGTTATGTGATTTGATATGTGTGGTGTGTGTCATTTTGTGTGTTGTGCTGTGTGTGTGTTGAGTGGTTGTGTATGTTCTCTGTGTGGTTGTGTGTAATGTGGGTGCAGGTTGTGTTGTTTTGTGTGTGTTGTGTTTGTACTGTGTGTAGTGTGTGTTCTGTGTTGTGATGTTTATTTTTGTGTGAGGTGTGTTGTATGTTTTGTGGGTCATGTTTGTTGTGTCTTGTATGTTGTGTGTGTTTTGTGTTATGGGTATTGATGTGTTTATTTTTGTGTGTGTGGTGTGTGCATGTTGTTTGTGTGTGTTGTGTGTGGTTGTATGTGATCTATGTTGTGCTTGTTGGGTTTTGTATTGTGTGTATAGTGTGTTGTTTGTTGTGTGTATATGGCAGTGAGTCTTTTGTGGTGTTTGTTGTGTGATTATGTCTGATTTCTGTTGTGTTACATTGTGTGTGCTGTGTGTTATTGTGTGTTGTGTGTTCTGTTGTCTGTGATCTGTATGTTTTGTGTGTGGTGGTGTTTCTGTGGTTGTGTGTCTGTGTGTGTTGTATCCTGTCTGTGTTGTCTGTGTTGTGTGTGTGATGTATGTGGTTTGGGTTCTTTGTTGATTGCAGTGTATGTTGTGCTGTGTTTCTGTGTGTTGTGTTGTGTGTATGTGTGTGGTTGTGGGTGGTAGTGTGCTGTGTGTTATGTGGGTTCAGTGTGTCTTTGTGTATTATATGTTTTGTATCTGTTGGGTTGCATGTTGTGTTCATGGTTGTGTGTGTTGTATGTGGTTTTCTGGGTCGTGTGCAGTGTGTGATGCGTCTATGCATTGTGTGTTATGTTTTGTGTTCTGGGTTCTGTGTGTTGTGTGTATGGTTTACTGTGTGTTGTGTATGTATGTGTGTTCGGTGGTCTCTGTTTTGAGGGTTGTGCGTGACTTTAATTTTGTGTTCTGAGTGTTGTGTATTTGTGTTTGTTGTGTGTGACTGTTTTGTGATTTGTGCTGTGCTGGCTGTGTGTATGGTGTATGTTCTAGGTGTGTGGTTGTGTTGTGTGAAATGTGTATTGCATGTGTTCTGGGTTCTTTGTGTTGTGTGTTGTGTGTGTTCTTTTGCATGATATCTGTTTTGCATGTGGATTGTGGATTGTGTGTGCTTCTGTGTGGGTTTGGTTGTGTGAATTTGGTGTGTGTTGTGAGATGTGTTTTCTGTCTGTGGTTGTGGGTGATTTGTTGTGTGTTTTGGGTGTGGTTGTCAGTGACTGTTTTTTGTGTTGTGTATTGTGTGTGTAGAGTTTGTGTTGATTTGTGTTTTGCTGTGATGGTTTTATTGTGTGTCTGTTCTATGTTGTGTTATGTGTGTTGGGTGTTTTCTGTAGTGTTATATTGTGTTTGCTGTGTGAGGTTTTGTGTGTTTTGTGTTCTTCATTGTGGGTTGTGTTGTGTTTGTTGTGTGCAGTGTATGCTGTGTGCATATGGTAGTGAGCTTTATGTTTGTTGTGTGATGATGTGTGTCTTATCTGTGTTGTCACATTTTGTGTGCTGTGTGTGGTTCTGTGCTGTGTTGTCTGTGTCCTGTGTGATTTGTGGTAATTTTGTGTGGTTGTATTTGTTTTGTATGTGGTGTGTGTTGTCTGTGCTGTGTGTGTTATGTGTGAGCTTTGGGTTCTGTTTATTGTGTGTGGTGTGTGTTTTCTTCTGTGTGTTTCTGTGTGGTGTGGTTTGTGTGTTGTATTTCTGTGTCGTGTTTTTTGTGTGTGGTGTGTGCTTGTGTATGTTGTGTGTGTTCAGTGTGTGTTGTATGTTGTGTTATATGTGCGGTTGTGTGTGTTGTGTGTGGTGTATCTGTTGGGTTCTGTGTGTTGGTGTTGTGTGAAGTGTGGAAAGTGTGTGTGGTTTGTGTGTTGTGCACTGCATTATTTTATTTTGTGTGTGTTGTGATGTGTGTGGTTGTATGTGTTATGAGTGTGCTGTGTGTGGTTGTCTGTGTTGTGTGTGTTGAGGATGTGTTTGTGAGTGTGTTAGGCTTAAAGTGATATGTGGGTGAGTGCTGGGGTCTGTGAAAAGGGTAAGAGGTAGGATGAAGGGTAGAGTTAGAATGAGGGGACCCAGTTTTAATGGGGAAGACGCTCTCCAAGGTAACTTAGGCAAGATATTGGCAGCAAGAGAAAATCACAACGTGGAATTCTCTGGGCCATAGAAAACTAAATGAGTCACCTGTGGGTCACGCTTAGGGTGATTGTGTGTGCTGAGTTATGGTTACATCTTAAATTAGTGTTTAATGAGTGGCTGGATTTAGTGTGGGCTTGGGTTTTGGTTAGAGCTATGGTAGTGGTTTATGTGAGGGTAGATGGGTTGAGTCTTTCAGTTAACAGTGAAGATCAATGAGGGCGAGGTTAGGGTTAAGGGCAAAGCTTTCAATTAGGCATAACATTAAATTATGGCTTTGCATGGATTTAGCTTAAGGGGAAAGGGTTAGTGTCAGGGTCCATTTAGATCTATGTCATCAATGAGCTGTGGGTGAGGCATACAGTGTGAGGGGTGAGCAGTAATGCTTAGGATGAGAGTGGAGGAGTCTTCAGGTCAACCATTCCCATACCCATATTCATAAGGGTAGTGCTGGGCTCAGACTGCTGCCGTTTGGCCTTCTTTGCAGAGGCCCTGCCTTTCTAGGAACGTGGCTACAGTACAGCACAGGAGCAGGACCCATATTCACCTTGGCTGGGAAGGAACTGACTGGCTTTCTCCATCAGCCACATGGGTTATTACCATGTCCCAGGAAAGAAACACCCTGTAGCTTGGATCAGGGTTCCATTTTCTCTAATACTGCCAAGGTGGTCAGCTCCCACCTCACCAAAATTACTCCCTCGGCAGAGGCACCAGGCCCTGAAGTGGGAACCTGCTCCCCTCACCAAGCACATTCTGTCTCTAGGAAACAGTCACCTCTGCGGCGTCATGGAATCTGCAGGCAACACTGCTGCACTTGCAATGTCCCCCACTAGAGGGTGTGCACTGCCCAGCCCTGGAAACCTGTATCACAGACAGTAAACACTAGGGGTTCAGGCATATATACACATACATGGGGTGCTCTGCCACGGCACATCCAAATGTGTGAGCCCCAGTACAGGTTGCACCCAAACTTCCTGCATCCATCCAGCCTTAACGTCTCTATTCCCCTGGGTCCTTGTCTGGGATCAGGATGAAATTCAAAGTGTTAGCTCTCAGGGTTCTGATGGGTGCTGTGTTAAGGGTTTGGATTTGCTTAGGGATTTATGTTGGGGTTCATGTGTGAGGCTCATGCTTAGGGAACCATCCTGGGGCTGGGTTTGGTTCCAGTGGTTATTAGGTTTTGGTTTTCCCTCCAGGGCTTTGTGGTATGGAATCAGGTTTCAGACTAAGGTTTTCTGGGTAAGGGTTACAGTGACATGGTTGGTGCAGGCAATGGTTAATTTTAATATTCATAGTTAGTTTGAGTGTAAGGACTAAGGTTTAAGGTATAAGGGTAAGGGATTTTGAGTGTGTGTGTGTGTGTGTGTATGTGTGTTAGGGTTTATGTGACATGTGGGTGAGGATTCGTGTTTGTGATAAGCATAAGAGTTACAATTAGAGATAGAGTTAGGCACGGTTTTAGAATGAGGGGAACCAATTTTAATGGGGAAGACTCTCTCCAAGGTAAATTTTGCATGATATTGTCAGTGAGATGAAATTATAATGTGGAGTTCTCTTTACCATATGAATCTAACCGAGTCAGTTGTGGGTCATGGTGAGGGAGATCTCATGTGCTGGGTTATGGTTACTTGTTAAATTAGTGTTTGACAAGGGTTAGATTTAATGTGGATGTATGTTTTGGTTAGAATTAGGAAAGTAGTTTAGTTTAGGGAAGTATTAAGTCTTTCACTTAACAATGAGGGTCAAATGAGGGTGAGGTTAGGGTTCAGGGCAAGGCATTGGGTCACGTTAAGGTTAAGTGTAGTGTGAAATTTAGCCTTGCTTAGTTAGCTCACTGGTTTAGGATTAGTGCCAGGGTTCAGTTTAGCTCCATGTCATCAGTGAGGTGTGGGTGAGGTTTAGGGTGAGAGTGAGGAGTAGTCTTCAGGTCAACCATTCCCATACCCATATTACCAAAGGTATTGCTGGGCTTAGAGAGCTGCCATTTGGCATTCTCCCTAAGCAACTGCTTTTCTAGGAATGTGGCTACAGTACAGCACAGGAGTAGGACCCACACTCGAAAGGGCCGGTTATGACCTGAATGGCTTCTCTGTCAGCCATGTGGGTAACCATGTCTCAATAAAGAAACACACACCTTGGATCTGGGTTCCATTTTCCCTAATGCTGCCAAGGCGGTCAGCTCCCACCTCAGCTAAATCACACCCAGGGCTGAGGCACCAGGCCCTGAAGGGGGAACCTGCTCTCCTCCCAAGTAGATTCTGTCTCTAGGAAGCAGTACTCGCCATTCCCACTGTGGCCTCATGGGTCTGTGGAACACCAATGCTCATGGAAGTGCTCCATCATTGAAGTGCCCTCCTTTGGATGTATCCACTGCAAATCCCTGGGGATGAGAGTGAGGTTCCAGTTTAGGGCAGGGTTCAGGTTAGACTTAGGGTGAAGTGATCACTTTCGTTGGAGTTCATATACTCGGGTAAGTTTAGGTTCAGCTTTACTGTGAGGTGTGGGTGAGGCTGAGGGTGAGGAATGAGGACTGAGGGGTAGAGTGAGGGTGAGGGTGAGCTTTAGGCTGCAGGTTAAGCATTCTAATCCAGAGTATGATGAGCAGAATGCTTACCTCTAACATGGGGCACCTGGGATTCCTCACATACACCCTGTCTTTTGTAGGAAATTGTTTAAAAGACAGTGTATGAGCAGGTCCCAGAAAGGAAACCTACTCTCCAGGGCCAGGCAGGAAGTAAATGGCTTTCTCTATGAGCCGTATAAGTCACGGTGGCCCAAGCACAAATAAGGGACTTTGATCTGTATTCCACTTTCTCAAATGCTGCCCTGTCAATCACTACCCACTGTTCAAAGGTCCATATGCACAACCGAGGCCCCAGGCCCTATTCAGTGAAAGTGCTCTCCTAGCCTTGCAGCCTGTTCCCAGGAAAGAAACTGGAATCCTTGTGGACTGCTAGTAGTAAAACAAAATTTTGCATCTGTGATGAAAAACAGTATGGAGGTTTCTCAAAGTATTATCATATGATCCTGCAATCCCACTTCTTGATATACACCCCAAAGGATTGAAAACAGAATCTTGAACAGATAGCACTCTTGTTCACTACCACAGCATTCAACATAGCTAAGAGGTGAAGAAAACCTAAATATCATTCTATGCATAAATGGGTAGACAAGATACAGCATAAACATACACTGGATATTAGTCTTAAAAGAAAGAAAGATCCTGTCACATGCTTCAGCATGGATGAACCTTGAACATACTATGCACATAAAGACAGATAATGCATGACTCCATTTCTATCGTTATCTGAAATAGTCAAATTCACAGAAACAGAGAGTAAAATGGTAGTTTCCAGGCAGTGGAAGGAGGGGGAGAACAAGCATTTTTTTTTTTTGACTCAAATAGTGGTATATCTCCTCTTTTCCTTTTTTTTTTTTTTTTT